GCAGAGACATAGGCAGAGGGAGAAGCAGGCTCCTGGCAGGGAGCCCGATGTGGGACTCTGGGATTGCACCCTGAGCCAAAGGCAGATGCTCAACCACTGAGCCACCCAGGCATCCCAAATTTACAGAATGTTAAAATATCTTCTGCCTCTGGACATAAAGGCTATATTTATTGCATATCATTTGTGGCATTGAGGGCATCTGGTAAAGCTGTGAAACCTGGTCAAGAGGATTTTGAGTTGTTAGAATGTCTTACCTTTATATCTCTTCTCTCTGCAAGTGACCCATCCTTTTGCATGGGTCTAAGTAGATTTGATTTATATGCAATATGACTTTATAAACTCCATATGTTAGAATGTCCATTCGGCTTTACATATCTTTCAAAAATAATAGTGGCTTAAACATGATCGAAGTTTAGCTCCTCCCTTGAGTAACAGGACTTGGCAGTCATTCCGGGGCTGGTATGGAGGCCCCTTAATCAATAGACACCAATGGCTCCCCCTAGTCTGACTGCTCTGATGCTTGGTGAGCAGCCTCATGATCCAAGCTAGAGGCTACTTAGGCTCCAGACAACACATTCATATGTTAGTAAGAAGTAGGAAGGAGCGAAGAAGGGTGCCCATGCCTCCCTTTGAGGATGTTTTCTGGATGTTCAACATAGCAGTTCTGTTTTTTTCTTTTTCTTTTTTTTTTTCTTATTTATTTATTTATTTATTTATTTATTTATTTATGAGAGAGAGAGAGAGAGAGAGAGAGAGAGAGAGAGGCAGAGACACAGGCAGAGGGAGAAGCAGGCTCCATGCAGGGAGCCCGATGCGGGGACTCGATCCCCGGACCCTAGGATCATGCCCCAGGCCGAAGGCAGGCACTAAACCGCTGAGCCACCCAGGGATTTCCCCCTGTTTTTTTCTTTTAAAGATTTTGATTTATTCATGAGAGACACACAGAGAGAGGCAGAGATGTAGGCAGAGGGAGAAGCAGGCTCCCTGGAGGGAGCCTGATTTGGGACTTGATCCCAGGACTGCGGGATTATGCCCTGAGCCACCCAGGCATCCCAGCCTCTTTGTTCAGGGCAACTTCTAGCTGCAAGAGAGGCTGCTGAATCATAGTCTGGGCAGGCATGTTCCACCCAAAGATCAAGGAGGATGAGAATGGATATTGGGGTGTGTAATAAGCCTGCATTCCAAAGCAAGAAGAAAATCATCACTAAGGAAAACCTATCAACTCCGACTCAAGGAATGGTATAGGGACTGCCTCATGGCATATAGGATGTTAGATTTGGGGGTAGGTGGCCTAGTAAATGTAAGCAAAGACAGGCGATGTTTGGAAAGTGGAGGAGGATGCCTGGGTGGTTCCATGGTTGAACGTCTGCCTTTGGCTCAGTTCATGATCCTGGAGTCCTGCATGGAGTCCTGCATCAGGTTCCCCGCAGGGAGCCTGCTTCTCCCTCTGCCTATGTCTCTGCCTCTCTCTCTGTGTCCCTCATGAATAAATAAATTAAATCTAAAAAAAAAAAGGTGGGGGGGAGAAAGAAAAGGGAGAAGAAAATGGAAACAATCCTGAGGATGCTCTGGAAAAGTAGGACGAAGGATGGTTAAGACCTCTGGTTAAGAGGTGGGTATAAGTAAGACTCCAGCTTCACAGTGAGGAAGAGGGAGAAGGAAAACAGGAAGAGGAAAGAGGCAAGAAAGGATGAGAGGGGCTAAGCAAGGGTGAGAGGTCAGGAATAAGAGGGGGGAGAGTTCAGGGGTTGTAGTTGGCCCGAGGCTGGCTCCTTGGTCTCTGGGGCGGTGGCTTCTGACCTGTCCGTAAGCAGAGCTCCAGGAAGAACAGCTTTATCTGGTACACCATCTAATTCCAGTGGTCATTTGTGGTGTTGGAGACTCCTGACTTCACATAAAGCCTTTATATAACTAAATCAGCTGAGTGGACATGATACAAAGGTCAGGAAAAAAAAAATCAGACCACACTGAAAAATCCAATTTGTGTGCAAGTAATGGAATTTTAGTAATGACTGAGAAAGCAACCTGTGGCCCAGCCGCTGTCTTCTCAGACACCAGGGCTGATTATTATGGGGGGTGGGGCGTGATTGTGGCTCTTTGGGGGTCTGCTGAGTATTGTGAAAGCTGGTTATAAGTCTTCTAGTTCCATAAATTGTTATTTTTCTTTTTTTCTATGGCCCATTAAAAAAGCTGCCTTACACCCAATATGCATGTGGCTCCTTTCTTGTGAGAAGAATCACAAGGGTTATTTATCTTTCAGCCAAACCTATGGAGTAAAAAGAGGTGTTTAGGTAAAATTAGGTACTTGAAGTTTCCGAGGGAATGGGCAAGTGTGTTCACAAAACACTTCATTTATAGCAAATGTTTATATTATAGCATCCTACAACTGGAAGGGACCCTTTTCTTTGGGTATAAATATTTCTACAAAAGGCTGCAGGAAAAAAAAATGGGCTGCAGAGATTGAAGTTTGCTTTGTTTACAGAAATTCACTCTACCCCACTCATGAGTATTTCACGATTGAAGATACTCGCCTGTGCCAGTAATTTCAAAATCTAACACTGGTGACTTTTTGCAAGTTTTGCAAAATATTTTGCAAAGCTGGATGCGAATTCCTTTGAAGAGTTTAGGTTGTGGTCAAGAGCTGCTCTCGGGAAATCACTCTCCTGAGTCCCCCAAATGGTTCTTTAGAAAGGCAGAGGGAAACCAAGATACTAACCAAAGCAGTGACAACACAGTGGGAAAGTTCTGGTGTCTCTGAGTCTAGACCCAAGCATTGTGATCAAACAAACTGCTTGGCCTATTAAAAACACACTGAAGGCAACACATTTTTGTTTCGCAACATATGAGAGGGCAGGTTGCCAAGTACTTGGTTATGAATGTGGAATCCATAAAAAAAAAAAAAGAAAAATCCCTGCACTTTGTCACTCTCCTCATACTGGATTAACCCTAAAGCATCAGAAATCGCAGAAGAAATTGACTCAAGACATTTGCACAGGGAGCTTGCTTTCTTTGCAGCGACTTTATGTAAAGATGTGAAATCAGTTTCCAGGGATTCTTCTGCATATAACTGGCCTGTAGATAAAAAGTGTGAGGAACCTTGAACCTTTCTACTGAAGAGTTACTTTGCTAAGAGAAAGATTAAAATTAAATAGAACAGAAAAAGCCTAAGGGTTGTTTTTTCCCTTAAAGTGAAATTGGACTTATAATTAAAACACACTGTGTTTTGTTTTTTCTTTAAAAAAGAACCTTAGTTTTTTTTTTTGTTTTTTTTTTTTTCCAGTTGGTTCTTAGCCCAAACCTTCATGACTACTTTTTTCTTTTGGTAGGGGTATCAAAAGAGTGGAATCCTTAATCACTGAACTGAAGGGACTTTAAAGATCAATTAGTCCAACACCTTAATTTGAAAAAAAAAAGGGACACCTGGGTGGCTCAGTGGTTGAGCATCTGCCTTTGGCTCAGGGTGTGATCCCTGCATGGAGCCTGCTTCTCCCTCTGCCTGTGTCTCTGCCTCTCTCTCTGTGTCTCTTATGAATAAATAAATAAAATCTTAAAAAAAGTTTTTTTTTTTTTTTAAATTTTAAATAAAATCCACATCATGTGTGGGGCTCCAACTCACAACCTCAAGATTAAGAGTCAAATGCTCCACTGACTGAGCCAGGCAGGCGCCCCTCCAACACCCCAATTTGATGTGCAGGAAGATCCAGAGAAATGAGTAATCAGTCCAAGATCTCATGGCCTTTCAAGACCTAAGCCATCCATCTCTGAGTCTTCACTTTTCCCAGTACCTCCTAACACTTCTAAAGACCAGGCTTGCCAGGTAAGGATTCATCCCTGAACTGTACATTTCTTGCTGTACCTGCTGAAGGAAAGACTCCACTCTGAACATTCAACTATTAGAATATGGGGTTTGGGCTTGTGACCCTCCATTCCAGTTGCAATAGGATCAAAGATGAACATTTCCTCAGACCTCACTCTATTTGGGTGCCCTTTTCCCTCGAAGAAATCTTGGTTCCCTCGCAAATGCCAAAAATAGGCCAGCAGGGTTTTTCTGGTTTGTTTCCTTTGTTTGCTCATTTGATATTAATTATTAACTGGAATGGGAGAGATGAAAGGCAGGAAGAAAATAAACGGGTATTTTCAAATTTCCTACTTTGAAAATGAAACTTTTTTTTAAAATATCTTATTTATTTATTCATGAGAGACACAGAGAGAGAGAGAGAAAGAGAAAGGCAGAGACACAGGCAGAGGGAGAAGCAGGCTCCATGCAGGGAGCCCGATGTGGGACTCGATCCCAGGGCTCCAGGATCACACCCCGGGCTGAAGACAGGCGCTAAACCGCTGAGCCACCCCGGGATCCCAACTTTTTTTTTTTTTTTTTTTAAAGATTTTATTTATTTATTCATGAGAGACACAGAGAGAGAGGCAGAGACAGAGGCAGAGGGAGAAGCAGGACTCAATCCCAGGACCCCAGGATCACAACCTGAGTCAGAGGCAGGTGCTCAAGCACTAAGCCACCCAGGTGTCCTGGAAATGAAACATTTGAAAGTAGTAAGAGGTAACCTTATAGACTTACTCTTATCAGAGCTATGGTTTGAGATGCCTATAATCCTCAGGACAATCAGTGGGAAAGGCTTTTTCATCATCCCCATTTTATAGATGGGGAAGCTGCCGCACAGGGAGACAAAGGGCTTGCCCGGGTCATTGGATCATAGGAAAGGGCTCTGCTGGAACCTTGCTCTGGAGTCTGTGCCTCTCTGTGCAGACGATGGGACTCCAGGCGTACCATGCTTTATTCTTCTCTGACCTATCCTTAGAGGTATGGATTTTTTGCCTTCAAGTTGTCTTCTTCTTCTTTGACGGTTCTGTGGCCTTTATTTCCTTCCTGCTCTGCTGATTCAGGACCCCAGGAAGCCTGGCTTCCTGTCGTGATCAGTTTGAGGACCGCCTGCAGAAATGCAGACTCAGCAAAGCGTCGCTCACCACCGGAGAGCCTGCAAAAGGTCAGGGGAAGAGAGGCAAAGGCAGCCCCACAGAGGTGCCCTGCATATTCACACACAGACACGCTGGAAGCATCCGGCAGAGAGCAGAAAAGGTGGTAGATCTAAGACTGAAAAGCAAAAGCAACAAGGGTGAGCCCGGAGGAGAACATTATGGTAAGTGAAATAAGCCAGACATAGACAAATACTGCATGATCTCACTTTCTACGTGGAATCTAAGAAAGTCATAGAACCAGAGTAGGAATGGTAGTTGCTGGAGACTGCAGGCGGGGTGGGGGCAACGGGGAGATATTTGTCAGAGGGCATACATTTTTATAAGTTTCATAAGATGATGAAGCTCTGGGCATCTGATGTATGGCGTAGTGGCTATAGTTAGTGAGACTAGAGCCTCACAAATTTGCTAATAGAGCAGATCTTAAGCGTTCTCATCACCACCATCCTTCCAAAAAAAGGTAACTATGTAAGGTGATGGATGTATTAATTGACTTGATTATGACATTCATTTAACAATATATACATATGTTATTATTTAGATTTTATTTATTTATTCATGAGAGACACACACAGAAAGGCAGACACATAGGCAGAGGGAGAAGCAGATTCTCTGCAGGGAGACTGATGTAGGACTCAACTCCAGGACCATGGGATCACGCCCTGAGCCAAAGGTAGACACTAGACCACTGAGCCACCCAGGCGCCCTAATATATACATATATTAAGTCCTCATTGTACAGTTAAAAAAAATCACCTTGTACAATCCTTTTTTTTTTTTTTCTCACCTTGTACAATCCTTAAAAAAGCAACTTGATCGGTTTAGGGGTGCCAGAAAATTTTTTAAAATTATTTTTTCAGGGATCCCTGGGTGGCGCAGCGGTTTGGCGCCTGCCTTTGGCCCAGGGCGCGATCCTGGAGACCCGGGATCGGATCCCACGTCGGGCTCCCGGTGCATGGAGCCTGCTTCTCCCTCTGCTTCTCCCTCTGCCTGTGTCTCTGCGCCTCTCTCTCTCTCTCTCTCTGTGACTATCATAAGCAAATAAAAAAAAAAAAAAAGAAGAAAAAATTATTTTTTCAAAATTGTATTTTATTTTATTATTTTTATTTATTTATTTAAAGTTTTTTTAAAAAGAGATTTTATTTATTTACTCATGAGAGAGAGAGACACACACACAGAGGCAAAGATACAGGCAGAGGGAGAAGCAGGCTCCATGCAGGGAGCCCGACGTGGGACTCGATCCCGGGTCTCCAGGATCACACCCTGGCTGAAGGGGGCGCTAAACCGCTGAGCCACTCGGGCTGCCCGGGCTGCCCTATTTTATTTTTATTTTTATTTTTTTTTTTAAAGATTTTATTTATTTATTCATGAGAGACACACAGAGAGAGAGAGAGAGAGAGGCAGAGACACAGGCAGAAGGAGAAGCAGGCTCCATGCAGGGAGCCCGACGTGGGACTTGATCCCGGGTCTCCAGGATCACACCCCGGGCTGCAGGCGGCGCTAAACCGCTGTGCCACCAGGGCTGCCCTTTATTTTTATTTTTAAAGAGATTTTATTTATTCATTCATGAGAGACAGAGAGAGAGGCAGTGACACAGGCAGAAGAAGCATGCTCCCTGCAGGGAGCCTGATGTGGGACTTGATCCCCAGACCCAGGGATCATGCCCTAAGTCAAAGGCAGATGCTCAAACGCTGAGCCACCCAGATGCCCCTATTTTATTTTATTTTTAAAGATTTTATTTATTTATTTGAGAGACAGACTGAGAGAGAGCAAGTACGTGGTGGGGAGGGGCAGAGGGAGAGGGAGAAGCAGATTCCCTCCTGAGTTGGAAGTCTGACATGGGGTTCAATCATAGTATGTCATGATTGTGACCCAAGCAGACACTTAACCAATTGAGCCACCGAGGCATCCCAAGGTTTTTTTTTTTTTAAGTAATTTCTACACCCAATGTGGGGCTCAAACTCATGACCCTGAGACCAAGAGTTGCATGCTCTTCTGACTGAGACAGCAGGGTTTCCAGAAACTTTAAAAGTCTATTTATTTCCTTTTAGAAAGGAATGTACTCATGAAAAAATGTTTCACGTCACTTGACATCCAGGAAATACAAATCAAAACCACAATGAGATACCACCTTATACCAGTCAGAATGGCAAAAATTAACAAGTCAGGAAACAACAGATCTTGGCGAGGATGCAGAGACCAGCAATTGCACTACAATCCAGTAATTGCACTACTGGGTATTTACTCCAAGGATACAAATGTATCCTGAATCTGAAGGGGCACCTACACTCCAATGTTTGTAACAGCAATGTCCATAATAGCCAAACAATGGTAAGAGCCCAGATGTCTGTCAACAGTTGAATGGATAAAGAAGATGTGGTATATACCTATGCAATGGAATATTACTCAGCATCACAAAATGAAATCTTGCCATTTTAAATGACGTGGATGGAACTAGATGGTATTATGCTTAGTGAAATAAGTCAATCAGAGAAAGACAGGTATCATCTGATCTCACTCATATGTGGAATTTAAGAATCAAAACAGAGGATCATAGGGGAGGAAAGGAAAAAATAAAACAAGATGAAATCAGAGAGGGAGACAAAACGTAAGAGACTTAATCATAGGAAACAAACTGAGGGGAGTGGGGAGACTGGGTAACTGGGTGATGGGCATTAAGGAGGGCAGGTGATACAATGAGCACTGGGTACTATATAAGACTTTTGAATCATGACCTCTACCTCTGAAACCAACAATACATTATAGGTGAATTAACTGAATTTAAATTATAGAAAAGAAACAAATATTTGCCTTTATTCCAAAGGAAAAATAATCTTTTGCTTGTTTGTTAAAAGTTTTACATTTTTATTTATTTTTAAATTGGGATAAAATTCACATAAGATTAACCATTTTAAAATTTTTATTTGTTTATTTTAAAGATTTATTTATTTATTTTAGAGAGAGGGAGAGCACACAGCAGGGGGAGGGGAAGAGGCAGGGAGAGAATCTCAAGCAGACTCCTGGCTGAATGCAGAGCCTGACACAAGGCTTGATCTCATGACCCCCACCAAAACCAAGAGTTGGTCACTTAACTGAGCCCCACAGGTGCCCCAACCAATATTTTTTAAGATTTTATTTTTTATTTTTATCTTAAAGATTTAATTTATTTATTTGACAGATAGAGCACAAGAAAGCCCAAGCAGGGGGAGTAGCAGAAGGAGAGGGAGAAGGGACGCCATGGTGGGACCCGATCTCAGAACCCCAGGATCATTACCTGAGCTGAAGGCAGGTGATTAACCGACTGAGCCACCCAGGTACTCTTAAATATTTTATTTTTAAATAATCTCTAAACTCACTGTGGGGCTTGAACTTACAACCCTAAGATCAAGAGTCCCATGCTCCACTGACTGAGTCAGTCAACAGGTTTTATCCAGCGTTTGGCTATTATAAGTTATGCTGCTATGAACATTCTTGTGTATGTCTTTTTTTTTTTTTAATTTAAGATTTTATTTATTCATGAGAGACACACAGAGAGAGGCAGACACATAGGCAGAGGGAGAAACATTCTCCCTGAGGGGAGCCTGATGTGGGACTCAATCCCAAGACCCTGGGATCACACCCTGAGCCAAAGGCAGACACTGAACCACTGAGCCATCCAGGTGCCCTTGTACATTCTTAATTTTACTGTAATTAAATTTAGTGTTTTCCTTTTGGTTAGTATTTGTGTGTGTGTGTGTGTGTGTGTGCTATTAAAGAAGTCCTTCTTGGGCAGCCCCGGTGGCTCAGCGGTTTGGTGCTGCCTTAACCCCGGGGTGTGATCCTGGGGACCTGGAATCGAGTCCCACGTCCGGCTCCCTGCGTGGAGCCTGCTTCTCCCTCTGCCTGTGTCTCTGCCTCTCTCTCTCTATGTCTCTCATGAATGAATAAATAAAATCTTAAAAAAATTATTAAAAAAAAAAAGAAGTCCTTCTAATCCTTGTGTTGTAAAGAGAGTTTTGGGGACTATCTCCTGGTTCTGAATTGTCCAATATGGTAGCTACTTGTCGCTTTTGAAATGAGAATTAAAATGAAATAAAATGAAAAAAATCAATCTCTTAGTTCTTTAACTACCTGCCCTATTGAACTTCTTGGTGGAGGTGGTGACCTCCTAACTGACACATTCCTTATGGCCTGGTAAATACTATGTCCTTTGAGCCTTTCTGTGAGACACAACAAACATCTATTGAGTCTTGCAATTCAGTGTTCCTAATACCTTTCAACTCACTTCACCTTCTATCATGGCAATACTGGATCCTTACCCGAACATTAAGTCCTGTATCTTCACAGAGCACTCTCAAGTCAACAAGACTCCTCTTGGGCAGCCCCGATGGCCCAGCGGATTAGCACCTGCCTTCAGCCCAGGGCATGATCCTGGAGACCTGGGATCAAGTCCCACATCGGGCTCCCCCCATGGAGCCTGCTTCTCCCTCTGCCTATGTCTCTGCTTCTCTCTGCTTCTCTCTGTGTCTCTCATAACTAAATAAAAATCCTTTGAAAAAAAAAAACAAGACTCCTCTTTACCCAATTTTATCTTCTCGTCCTCCTTTTAAATTTATTTATTTATTTATTTATTTATTTTTTTTTAAAGATTTATTTATTTATTCATGAGAGACAGAGAGGCAGAGAGACAGGCAGAGGGAGAAGCAGGCTCCATGCAGGGAGCCCGATGTGGGACTCGATCCCAGGTCTCCAGGATCACACCCTGGGCCGAATGCAGCATTAAACCGCTGAGCCACCCGGGCTGCCCTAAATTTATTTATTTATTTATTTATTTATTTATTTATTTATTTATTTATTTATTTATTTATTTTTAAAGATTTATTTATTCATGAGAGACACACACAGAGAGAGGCAGAGACATAAGCAGAGGGAGAAACAGGCTCCTCACAAGAGCCTGATGTGGGACTCAATCCCCGATTCCAGGATCATGACCTGAGCTGAAGGCAGCCGCCTAACCGCTGAGCCACCCAGGTGTAACTTTTAAATTTATTTATGAGAGAGAAAGAGAGACAGAGAGAACAAGAATGAGCAGTGGGAGGGGCAGAGGGAGAGAGACAGAGAGAATAAGATTCCCCGGTGAGAAGGAAGCCTGATGGGGAACTTGATTCCAGGACCTGGAAATCACAACCCAAGCCAAAGGCAGACACTCAACCAATTGAGCCTCTCAGGCGCCCCTGTTCTGGCCCCTTTGATCAAGCACTCTTAGAATGCAAGTCTCTGGCTGCTGTCACTGCCTACCGGCAAGGTTGCCACCCTTTTGTGGTGTATGGTCCCTTAGCATGTCCCTGGCTGGCATATGTGGTGTTATGCTGGTTATAGGCAAAGTGGCTGAGGAGGGGGCTTCTCAGAGGAGCCTATACTCCCTCACAGGGAGAGGCTTCTGCATGGTGTTCCAGCAAGGAGTGCTAGCTCTTGCAGGGAGGTTTGGAGATGATGAGCCACTTCTGCAGCACCAGAAGGGTCACACGAGTCTAGAGAGTCAAAATCTTCAGAGCCATTGTCACATGTTTGTATCTCATCTAGAGGCCAGACACAAAAGACTTTGCCGTTGTTGAGTGCTTAATGTCCTTTGGCTTGGTCCTTAACTTTTTCTGCCTCGCATGGCAGGAGATGAGAGCTTCATTATATGCAACCAAGGGGGCTGGTTTTCACGCCTGGCTTACTATTGCTTATTACATTCTGCTGTGCGTCATCTTCTTGTAGAACATTCATGACGCTTACCAATGGGCCTCCAAATCTATTTTCTCTGCAGAAGTCTCAAGTGTCTGATATACCACTTTTGCTAGTGCTTTCCCTTTGACCTGTACTTCTCAGGTACCAATATTAAGGCGTGTGCCAGGGGCTGTCTTGAGACCCACCTACTTAACACCAACTCAACAGAGATGGGGCCCTCCTTGCCAGCCTGTTCCAAATCCATCTCTTTGCTCTCTCAAACTCCTGGTGTCAGCTGTCATGGGTTAGAGTCTTCTGAAGCAGAGGCAGAGTCAGAGTGTGGGGTGCAGGATGTTTATAGGGATGGGTACTTGGGGGAGGAAGGGGAGGCAGCAAGATCTAGGCAGAGGAAAGAGAAAAAACGGTGATGCCAGCCCAACAAAGCTTCAGTCAATAATGTGGCAGAATGTTGCCTTCAGTCTCAAGGGCTTTGGAATGTCCTGTATGAGGTCTTAATGGCACTTTTATGTTCCTGTCCCATTCAGTTACTGGATGTGTGCTGCCCTGGGAGCCACGTGCCTTGAGGCAAGGCAGCTCTGCACCTGAGATCCTGAAGGTGCTGGAAGCTGGAGGCTGTGTGTGGATCACTCTGCATGGCTGAGCAGAAAGTCCCTTCTTGAGGGCATCTAGGTGACATTTCCATGTCTGTCACGCAGTTGTCTTTAGATTTGCCTTTCTTTCAATAATGCTTAGTTTTACATAAAAGACTGGTATATGGTCCATTAGACTTATTACTATGTACTCCGTGACATAGTAATTTGACACTGTGGTATCTTTTTCTTTTTCTTTTTTTTAAAGATTTTGTTTATTTATTTGAGAGAGAGCGATAGCGAGAGAGCATGTGTGAGAGGGAGCAGAGGTAGGAAGGGGCAGAGGGAGAGGGAGAAGCAGGGTCCCTGCTGAGCAGGGAGTCTGACATGGGACTCAGTCCCAGGATCCTGGCATCATGACCTGAGCCAAAGGCCTCACTGACTGACCCACCCAGGCCCCCTCCCCCCAGTGGTATCTTTTTAAGCTTTTTATAATTTATCTGATTATTGCTTTAAGTAGTATATACTATTATGCAGAAATACATTTTATTTTATTTTATTTTCAGAAATACATTTTAATATTGATATTAGCAAGCTTCCTAAACTCACTTATTAATTCTGATTATGTACCTGTGGGTTTTTCTATATACATAATCAGGTCATCTTGTGAACAAGGATAGCTCTTCCTTTTCAGACTTACATGTTTTTCTTTTTTCTTGTACTAATCACTGCACTGGTTTGGTCCTTCATTATGATGCTGGGCAGAAGTGGTCAAAGCAGGGGTGCCTGGTTGGCTCAGTCAGGGGAGCAGATGACTCTTGATCTCAAGGTTGTGAGTTCAAGCTCCGTGTTGGGTGTACAGCTTACTTTATTGTTATTTTTTAAAAGATTATTTATTTATTCATTCATTCATTCATTCATTCATTCATGAGAGACACAGAGACACAGAGGCAGAGACACAGGCAGAGGGAGAAGCAGGCTCCATACAGGGAGCCCAATGTGGGACTCGATCCAGGGACTCCAGGATCATGCCCTGGGCCCTAGGCAGACACTCAACTGCTGAGCCACCCAGGCGTCCCTAGAGCTTACTTTAAAAAAAAAAAAAAAAGAAAAAAAAAAGAAAAAAAAAAAAAAGAAGTGGTCAAACAGGCATCCTTGTTGCTATTCTAATCCAAAGGGAGAACTTTCAATATTTCACTACTTGGTATAATGCTTGTAGGTTTTCGTACACCTACACTTTCTTGGAGGTTTTGTACAACCTTAGATCAAGTTGAGAAAACTCTTTTCTATTTCCACTTTGCTAGTACATATATTTTTAAAAAAATCATAAGTGGTGTCGAATGTATTCAACACTTTCCTACATCTCTTAATGTGATCATATGATTCTTCCCTTTTTGTCCATTAATACGGTTAAGTACACTGAACGATTTTTGACATGTTAAGCCAAGCTAACATTCCTACCATAAGCCCATGTTGGCAGTGAGGTTTTATCTTCGTATACTGCTGTATTCACTTGGCTGGTTGTTTGTTCTGAAGTTTTGCAATCTAAGTTTATGACTGAGATTAGCCTATTTTTTTTCTTTCTTTCTTTTTTCTTTTTTTTTTTTAGTTTTTGGTATCAAGGTTATGTTGGCCTCAGAATGAGTTAAGGATAATTTTTTTTTAAGGATTATTTTCTTTTCCTATTCTCTGAAGGAGTTTGTCTAAGATTGGTGCCATTATTTTTTTTAAGATTAAAAAAAATTTTTTTAAAGTAATCTCTATACCCAACGTGGAGCTCAAACTCACAACCCCCAGATCAAGAGTTGCATCCTCTACTGACTGAGCCAGCTGGGTGTTCCTAAAGATCTTAAATTATAGATGTAATTTTATTTTATTTTTTATGTTTTTAAATATTTTATTTATTTATTCATGAGAGACACACAAAGAGAGGAAGATATATGAGCAAAGGGAGAAGCAGGCTCCATGCAGGGAGCCCGATGTGGGACTTGATCCCAGGACCCTGGGATCATGACCTGAGCCAAAGGCAGACACTCAACCAATGAGCCACCCAGGTACCCCTATAGATGTAATTTTAAGCAGTAGAGACTACTTAACTGTTATGTTTCTTATTGTGCCAATTTGGCAAACTGTATTTTAAAGTAATTTGTCTCTTTTAATCACATTTTTAGACTTATTGGCATAAAGCTGCTCATAGTATTGTCTGTCTCATTATCTTTTTAATGATTGAAAAATCTGTAGAAATGTTCCCTTTTAAATTTTTTGGCATTATTTGTGCTCTTTGAAATTGGTTTCACCAAGGGTTTATTAATTTTATTAGTCTTTCCAAAGAATTAACTTTTGACTGTTTCCATCTATTTGCACTTTTATTGTGCTTAATTAGCTGTTCTTTTTCTAACTTCTCATGAAGAATACTGCTTATTTTTGTCTTATTTTCTATTACATGCATTAAAAAAAAAACAAAAAACTACACATTAGCATGGCTTTTACTACATGTTAATGTGAGGATTTAGGTTTTTTTTTTTTTAAACATTTATTTATTTATGATAGACATGGGGGGCGGGGAGAGGCAGAGACACAGGAGGAGGGAGAAGCAGGCTCCATACTGGGAGCCTGACGTGGGACTCGATCCTGGCACTCCAGGATAGCGCCCTGGGCCAAAGGCAGGTGCTAAACCGCTGAGCCACCCAGGGAATCCCCAGGATTTAGTATTTTTAAAAACTTTCAGTTTATTTTCTAATTCCCAGTGTGATGTTTTTTTAAATTCATGAGTTAATTAGGAATAGTTTTCAAATATGTAGATTTTTTTTTTTTACTTACCTTTTTTCTTCTCATTTTCTAGCTTAATTGCATCATTGTCTGAGAATGTACTCTGTATAATTTAGACCATTTGAAATTCGTTGAGACTTGCTATATTGCCTGGCATTTTCATAAACATTCCATGTTCACTTAAAAAGAATTTGTGATCTGCAGTTATGAGTGTAGTATTCCATATATATCTATTAGGTAAAGTTTGCTTATTCAGTTGTCCAAATCGATTGCTTACTACTTTTCATCTGTTCTAATAGTTGCTTATACACATTATCTTCTGCTAGAATTGTAGTTTTGTCTCTAGTTTCTTGCAATCCTGTCCATGCTTTTTCTTTTTAGAAATATTTT